TTGCGTCAGTTCGCAATGAAATTCTTGGATCATGAAGAATTAGCTAACTGAAATATCCAGAAAGAATTTATGAAGCCTTTTATCATTGTTATGCGTAAGAGTAGATAAGTTGAAATCATGAAATTAATTATCAGATTCATCTTCCAGTTGGTATTCTCTCGGGTCAAGAGTGTAAAGTCAAGATGGAGAAGCAAATTTATGGTCTTCACTACAGCCTCCTATGAGGAGCACAAAAACATAGTTCTTTTGGCCTTTGAGATTCTCAAGAGGATTTTAAAGGATTAGTTCCCTTACATAACTGAAACTGAGAATGCTACTTTCTCAGACTGCATTAATTGTCTGATTGCTTTCACTAATTGTAGGTTCATCAAGAATTTTAGTTGCTAGGCAATTTCTTTCCTTCTCTTTTATGCGACTAGGCTTGCTGAAGGAAATTTTGGAAAGAATATGGAGGCTTCTGCAAATAATGTATCATCTCTCCTTAGGTAAAAAAAAAAAACCTACGGGCAGCAACAAGAGGCCTTTGACTGACAATATAATTCACTTGTTAGCAGAAGCAGGGAATTTGTGGTGCACATAATAACTCGCTTACAGGCGTGGACAAAAAGCTTGTACCAAACAAATCAGCCCGCCTTGGGGGAGAATAGGGAAACTTGTAGCAAGAAGGATAATTCTTCTACAAACACGAACACGATCTCCTAGTGTTGATTGAACAAACACCCTCTAAGAATTGTGCTAAATGATAACTTGAAGGAGACAAAATGAACTAAATAATATCTCTCCAATATACTATAATTGAAACCTAACTCGCCTTCAGTAAATACCATTGTATTTGCAATACTTGTACAAGCAAACATAAGGTTCTTGAATTTCAAATGAAATATTGCACAGTTTTCGATGACAATCACTTGCACAAAAGATATATTTAAATATTTTAAAATGCCCCCTCATGCATTAAAATATGATTTCCTAAACTTAAATGTGGTTCATCGAAAAGCATGCATGTTAATTTAAAATGAAAATTTAATTCTCCCGCATGTGCTCCGACAAACGTGCTAAGTTTGCAAACGTTAATGTTTGAAAATGCTATGCGGGGGTTCAATGCTCACTAATATAATTTTTTTTTTCAAATTAAACACTCACATGTGCTCTGACCGTTGTTTTGAACTCTTAAATTAATGGTTCGAGAATGCTGCATGGGCCAAATATTCAAATTTCATTCTCCTCCTTAAAAAGTCTGGAGTCGACATGACTTGGATTGACAAGCAAATATCTAATCATAAATCAATTATTTAATCCCCAATGATGTCCGTGTTGAAAGTTAATCTCAACCGGAGGGGACTCTATCCTTTCAAATACCTTTAAACTTAAACAAAATATATTTTCAAATGACTTTATTTAATCCCCAATGATGGCCATATTGAAAGTTAATCTTGACTGAAGGGGACTCTACCTTTTTAAATGCCTCCAAATTCCAATAAATATAAACATTTTCAAATGACTACATTACCCCGACGATAGTCATGTTGAATGTAGGTCTCTGCCGTAGGGATAAATTCTCAAAGATCTACTAAGCTTAAAAGCTCAACATCTATCAAAATATTACTATTTAAAGCAAAACTCATCTCCGCAACTGTTTGACGAGGGTGCTAAACTCAAGAATAACTCTAGTTTACTAAGAGGGAATATCCAAATTGAGAATATCACTCAAATTCATTCTCAAATATTATTTTGCCAGTAAGGACGTGACATTTGTCCTCTAATAGGTGATGTAGACAAGGGGGGTCGAATCAAACCCAAAAAAATTGATTTTTGACTACTCCAGCTCATTAATGTCAAGTCGAAGGTTAGCTCATTATGAGCTGGTTTTTAGTTCATTTATGGAGCAAAAAATTAGCTCATTATTTCTTTGATCTTGTCTATTCTCCTTCCCCCCCTTTGTCTATTCGTTTCCTGTGCTTGGCTCTTGGGTTCCCGTGCCATGGCTCCTTGGTTTCCTCGGTTGGCTGCTGGTTTTCCGTGCTGGGTGGTCTTTCCCGTACCTTGATGCTTTGGTTCCGTGCGGGCCTCTTGGGTTTCCGCGGCTGCCTCTTCTGTTCCTGGCTGGGCTGCTTCCCATGGCTGTTTGGGGGGCTTTTCCGTGGCTTTGATGCTTCGTTTCTTGGAGTTGACTGTTGGCTTTTCATATTCTCTATTTAAATAATCTTTTAAATTAATGTTGTGGCTATTTGTATTCCCCTCTCATGCCTATATATAGAGTTGTTTGTGGCTGTTTTAGATATGTTATGATGTGATTTTTGGAAATGTAAACCTGCGGGTTTCGTTGGAAAAGCTTGCGAGCTTTGTCCACTCCTTCTCACCCCCTCTGGAAATCTTGCGAGCTCTTTCCACCCTTCGTCTTGGCTTTTAACCTCTTTCGTCTCTCCGCAAGTTTACACCCCACCTGTATCCTTCTTCTCAAAGTAAGCAAGTTTAGGGTGTCTTGTTTGAGTCAAGTTTGTAAGAGTCAAGTTTGTAAGTCTTTCATTTTATAATATTAAAGTTTGTTTTGTTTAATTTGTCTAGTATTTGTGAGTTTTTGTAAGTTTTTAGATCTTAGAAAGAGATTGTTTTTGTGACAAAAAATTTGGGAAGAGACCCAAATTTTTGGTTACATCAATAGATGGCTTGGCCGGATGGCTCCACAAAATATGTAGCTTGGCCAGATGACTCTATGTGGTAAACAGTTATGATTGGTCCTCTAATCAGTGGTTTGGCCAGAAGGATCTACAAATAACTTGTGGCTTGGCCCGGATGGTTCCACATGGTAAATGATTATGACCACATCTCTCTGATCTAGTGGCTTGGTCGAACGACTCGACTTTCCTACGGTTATGGCTAAATGGCCGTATGTTCTCTAATGGCTATTACTATTGAGTAATGAATTATAAGATATAATCGATAGGGAACAAAGCCCTATGTTAGTTAATATTGACTTGAATTTGTCCCTTAGGCAAACATTCACCCAAGTCTACAAGATTCCCTTGTGTGAAACAATCCATGGCTGACGCAAGGGTCCTTCAGTCAAGTTGGGTCGACTACCTCCTCTGACTAAGTGGACTAGGGAACATGATGATCCCGGACGACGAAACCATAGGATCTTGATCAGTTTCATCATCATTTATCCCCCACCCTCTTTAAGTGCAAGGTGGTGAATTTCTAAATTTAAATATTAAATTTTACATCTAAAATTGTTGCTACTATACGTTGGATACTAAGTATTTATTTAACGATTAGCCTTAATAGAAAGTACTCACGAGTTATCGAGAGCGGTAATTAACTATAGTGGTTTGCACCTATAGGAAGCCATAATGCAGATTTTAAAGTCCTCGCTGAGAGAGCGAAATCTCTGTGTAGTATCTTATCTTTATCTAATCCGCCTTCTGAAAATTTCCCCTAGAACTTCATGTGTTAAAATTCTCCCCAAATATATATGCGAAGAGGCTGAGGCCCTAAAGTTCAAATTTTTGGAGCCCACATGATGATGACTAGGGATAAAAGTATTTGAGATCTAACAAAGGATCAAAAGTAACATATATGAGAACGAGACTAGGGGTGTAAACGAGTCGAGTCGAGTCGAGTATTTGCCTTATCAAGCCTGGCTTGTTTAGTCCTTAATGAGCTCGAGCTCGAGCTCGAGATCGAGCTCGATTAGTGGGCTCGAGCTCGACTCGTTTAGAAAATATCAAGCTCGAGCTCGACTCGAAAGCTCGAGCTCGTTTGAAAAGCTCGAGCTCGAGATCGAGCTCGTTTGAGAAGCACCAATGCATGTGATGGATATTATTATATATATAACTAATATTATAAATATAATATATATAATTATATCGAGTAGCTTGATAAGCTTTCGAGTCAAGTCAGGCTGAGCTTGAACTCGAGCTTGTTAATCATTCGAGCTCGATTGTAGGCTCGAGCTCGAGCTCGAAGCTCGATAAGCTATGCTCGCGAGCTCGTTAACGAGTCGAGTTCGAGCCGGCTCACGAGCGGGCTCGGCTCACTTACATCCCTAAACGAGACCATTTGGGATATCAAGTTCCACAGGACCGTGATAAGGAAAAAGGACTAAAGTGAAAGAAAGGTAGAAAAAGATAGTGGTTTAACTTATAGTTTTATATCGAGTGGTCAAAGTCATGTCCATAATTCATAATCTTCATAACGGTTTTACATGTTGATTTTGCTTACAATTACCATGCGGCAAAGGCCTATGCCTTCTTTCCAAAATTAATTTTACGTTACTTAATTTAGCTGGTTAATATTTAATTTTTTTCATTAACAGGTTATGTCCATGCATGCTTAACTCTTTGATGTCTCCTAATTCTAATAATCAGTTTGTGCATTATTAGCACTAAAATAGAATTGGTTTGTTTTCTCTTCTGGATTGTCACTATCTGAAGCTTGTTTTCCTTGTAGCTACTTAAATAATATTCATTTATTTTGTTGATTCTTTGTTGGCAGTGCACTAAAGTATGCACACGATAAACTTCATCAATCATCTTGGTTCTCAATATGATTCTCAACTATAGGCTCTATAAATTCTTTAAAGTAACAACTTTTCCTATGCATTTGGGTGGGGATATTTGCTATTTCTTGTTTATAATTGATGAAATGTGCCAATTTTGCAGTTAGGTTAGATATAAAAAGATGAGGTTATGAGCATATATTTGTTAGTTTTTCTTGGAATAGATAGCGTTTAAAATAAAATTATTAGATAAATTTTCCTTTTGATGCACGTATTGCTTGTAAATTTTAACATTTTATTGTTCTCAAATTTGTTTTTGCTTAAGGAATTACATTAATTTTGATGATTTAGTATATTAGCTGTAATCCATATTTGGACATAATGGGTGTTTGACATACTTATTAGATATTATTTTCTTTTGGGGGACCTGTTATATTTGTTAGATAATATTTATTTATTTTTGATTATTTAATCTATTATCTGTGGTTCATATTAATTCCAGGATGCCAAGAAAGGAGTGCTCTTCATTGATTTCCCTCCAGTTTTGCAGCTCCAGCTAAAACGTTTTGAATATGATTTTATGAGGGATACCATGGTTAAGGTGTGCTCTATTAACTTACGGACGTACCTTTGATCAGTGCACCTTTGAAATTGAGAATACTTTATTATTATTTTTTGCGTGTTCCAGTTGGCTCTGTTATACCACTTGGATCAGTAAAGAATGCATCATGGTTAATCAGGAGCTGAACATTTTGTCCAGCTTTCATAAAATCTTTGTTTGTTATTGTTTTGCCTCAATCTTTTCCATAATCTTCTTTCATTACAATTTGATACATGCCCTTCTTTTCCAGAACCATTATTTACCCAGTTTGTAGTTGCATTTTTTTGTGCCTCGTGTTTAAGCATGTACACATGTACATCCATTCACAGCTTGCAACTGCTTTTATTCGCTCTGAAAAATTCATGCATGAGTAAAACCAGCGGTTTGTTTGCTGAATAAGGAAGATTCTGATCATGGTTGAGGCTATTTTTCTTGCAAGTATAGGTGTGAATGTATTCTGAACTTGGTTAAAAGATCCTAGTATTTTTTGAAGTTATTTCTTCATTATGGACTCTCAGCAATCTAACTTGTAAATTGAATATGAAGGCATTTTAGGATGGATTGAAATGTTTTTCGTAGTGTTTGCAATGTCATCACACGCACACTTGTTGGTGCAGTATATGTGATCTATTTTTGTACTCTTTGTCAATAGAAAATTTATTTTTGTTGTGCAGATAAATGATCGGTATGAGTTCCCATTACAGCTGGACCTTGATAGGGATAATGGAAAATATTTATCTCCTGATGCTGACAGAAGTGTTCGCAACCTTTACACCCTGCACAGGTATGAGTTGTGTCATACGATTCTATTTCTCCCAGATCTGAATTCCTGATTTGTACCCATATATGTTTTTTTTTTAGTTTTTATTTTGTTATACATTTCCCATGATTATTCTTTGTGCTGTATGCCTATGCAATCTCGTTATGCAGAAAATTGTCTGAATCAATTGTGCTTTCATTTAGATATGGAAAATCTGCCTGATGTGATTTTATTCATTGTAGTCTATAACGTTGATTAATGAAATAATTCATCATAAATAAAATGTATTTCAGGGAATCACTAAAAACTTGACTGATGGTAGGCTCTTGAAAGATCTTAACTATGTTATGAAGGAACCGTGAAAAGCAGTCTAAAATGAATGAGTTCCCACCCTTGGTGCTTTAAAATATCAGTACTCTTCCCCTTAATTGTTTGCAGAGATAGAGATGCAGGATGTTTTAAGATCTAGATCTACTATTATGAGATGTAAAAAAAGTATGCAAAATACATTAAAAAATTTGCAGATCACAAATTCTTAAATTTAAACAACTCTGCATTGTTTTCAATGCAAACTGAAAATATTAAAATGAATTTCCAAAATAGTTTAAATAGTATTCGCAAAGAAATTAGGGGTGACAATATTTGACACAACCTACAAATCTGATTCGAAAATTACGGGTTCGGGTCAACTCGTTTGGAAAATGGGTTGAATTTGGGTTTCAAATCTTGACTCGATTGCAAGTTTGGGTTCAGTTCAGGTCAACTTGGCAACCCGAAATCAACTTGGAACTGACCCACAATCAAGCTCGCGTCCACTTGTCCATTAGCGTTCGTCACATGTAGTCGTCCTTGTGCTGCTGTGCTTGCCCCATTGCCCGCACGCAGCTTGTCGCTCGCCTGCGCTTCACCGCACACGGCGCGGCATGCCTGGACATGTCCGCACTACACGCCCCCTTGCCAGCTCCCTTGCACACGCCTGCTTGCCAGCTCGCCTGTACACACCTGCGCTCGCTCGCGCAGTTGCATGCACACTCGCCTGTGCATGAATGCACTTGCTAACGCAGTTGTCCTCAATCGGGTCAACGTGTCGGGTCAACCTGGGTTAGGGGCAGGTTGGGTCCGGGTTTGCTTTTTAAACCCATTTTGTCGGGTTGGATCAATGGAAGGCTGGTCAATTTCGGGTTGGACCCGGACTCTACCCGAAAATCCATTTTGATACCTCTAGTAGAAATTTAGGGCCAAGAAAGTGGCGCAATAAATTAAAATCCAACTTATTGAAAATTAGAGTATGTCAGATTTTATTAAAATCAATCCCACAATTAAATTGAATAACAAAATTTAGAGCATGGATCCAAGGAATTAAAACAAAAGGAAAGAATGCAATATTTTCAGAAGTATAAGTCTTATGTTTGTCAGAGGAAATAATCTTTCTTAGAATCTTCAAATCTTGGACTCAGATTGGTTAGTTAACTTTCGGATGTAGAAGTAACTGCATATTCAATTAGAACTTTTTTTAAACCAAATTCATTTGAGTTTTGAACTGGCCATAAGAATCCTATTTTTAATAACTGAACTATATTGGAGATTTCCCTATTTACCCACAAAACCCTTCAAAATTACATAACTGGACTGTTAGGAAAATCCTTATAACATATTAGTTGCTGAATGCTCGATCAAACAATTGGCAAGTCCCACATCTGCTCATAAGAAAGGCTTTAGGTTTGACATCAGCTCATTGGAAAGCCGTGATAAGCAAAAAAGTAATTAATCATGATGTGAAGATGCACATCTGAAATGGCAGAGGAAGCTTGCAAATCTTCTTGGAAGGATGCACATCCCACTATCGTAATAGAAGCCAACCATGATTCTTGAAGCCTAGTGCAGGAATTATAGTCGTAGAATCATATAAGAAAAATAAATTTGAAGTGGTAGTGTGATAAGGAGGCAGGCTGATAAGAAGTCAGATGCAACCTATTCCTCTTGTTTGAAAATAAGAATCATAGAGAGAAGAAATAAGGCACAGATATTAGGAGGTTATATTAGGATGTTGTAGGAGGGCTTTACATCATTTCTATCTAACTTAAAAAGTACCATTGTTTCATGATATTTCAAGTAAATTTGGGCATAATTATTGTATTCATGTTGAGAAGCATCAAAACCACCATAAATCTGTCTCTCAACTACACAAGGTATCTCTAATATAAAGTATCAATAGTGGGCACAATTTCATACCCTATTATTGTTTTGATAGCAAGGTTTGTATTATAGTTTGATCAATATTTAGATAGTGTATTGGATGTGAAATTCTGTGATTCATGCTATAAAGTCAAATTCATATATATAAATAATTATACAACAACAACATTAAGCCTTTATCCCACTACGTGGGGTTGGCCACATGAATCATTTTTCTCCATTGTGTCCTATTAAAAGTCAAATTCTCGTTTAAATCTAATAAAGAAAGGTCATTCCTAATATTTTCTAACCAAGTCTTTTTAGGTCTACACCTACCTTTCTTAATATAAGTCAAATCTAATACCTCTACTCTCTTAACCGGGTCATCGAAAGGCCGCCGTTTTATGTGACCAAATCATCTAAGGCGATTCTCTCTAATCTTATCTTCTACTGGAGCTACTCCAACCTTTTCACGTATATGCTCATTTCGTATCCTATCTCTAAGGGTAAAGCCACTCATCCACCTAAGCATCCTCATCTCTGCCACACTTAACTTAGTATTATGCTTCTCTTTTAATGGCCAACATTCGGCACCATAAAGCATTGCAGGCCTCACTGCCATCTTATAGAATTTTCCCTTAAGTTGAGGGGTACATTTCTATCACATAACAAGCCCGATGC